AACTTTTTACCATATCACACATCAAACAACTGAATCATAACTAAACTGTTTCAGAAAAAAAAGCAAACAAATACAAAATTTCACAATGAACTTTAACTCAAACTGCCATCTACTTGTATTTTACAACTCTGTACTCGTGTATGTCAGTGACTGATTCATTCGCATTTATTTTTAAGCCTCCCCTACAATTTTAAGGAAACATATGAGACAAACATGATCTGTAAATGAAACATGACAGTGAACCGCATTAAGGTTTGGAAGTTATTCAAGACCAACCTCACGGCAATAAGATATTCCTCTGGGCGATGCTATCATAGTAACTGCAGCAGTGCCAGTATTTATAGCATTACTGTAAGATGCCATCGTAGACTTCAGGCCTGCTCTTCTTACAGACGCAATGAAATCAGGTCTTCTAGCAGTGATGCCATTCCTAAACATTCTACCTTTGCATACATGTATTACCATTCAAAAGATGTTTGGATTGCTTTTGAGGTCTCTTATGCTCACAAAAGCTTGGTTTACTTAATCTGAAATACAGTAATATAGTAAATTTTATAAGCATTTAAAACAGGGGTGCCCAAACCTTTCTTATGAAGGACCAAAAACCAAACTTGACTAAGAGGGGTGAGCCAAAGGTAAATACTGTATACCAAACTATTACATTAAAGCTGCCATGGTAATTTTCTCATTTATTAATATTAAATAATATATAGAAAAAAACTACTCCAATTATATTAATAATTATAAGGATTTTGTACATTTTATAATGAACTTCTTACAATAAAAACATAAATAAACACATTCATAACACAGTGGTTTTCAATGCTAAATACTAGGGATGTCCAGATCCGATCACATGATCGGAAATCGGGCCTAGTCACACAGTTTAAGACTCGATCGAAATCGGAGGTCACCTCCTGATCAGGACTTGAATATATAAGTTAGACCTCTTTCTTGACTTCAGACAGAAACAGCAATGCATGACATCACTTTGTTGCAGAGATGCTATTGGTTAAATGCAGACAAAGTTGAACACGGAAGCAGCTTAAAGCGGAAAGTGTGAGTATGTCTGTGGTCTGGAGGTATTATAAAGTTGATGATGACAACATTGCCATAGCAAACTGTGAGACGTGTAAACTTGGGATTGCCTGCAGGGTATTTCAAGTTAAGGTGCTATTTGTGTTTATTTGTTAATTTCTTTTATATTTACTGTTGAACTAAAGTCCAAAAGTGAAGAATTTGTGGTATTTATTACTTGATTGTTCAAGCTACTTCACAGAAGTGTTTGTTAACATAGTTGTTGAATGTTAAAATAAGTGAATTAAATAAAAAATAAAGAACATCCCGAATCTGTTTCTTCGCTCCTCTTTATTTCTTTTTTATGTATTATAAAAGTACCGGATTGGGATTCGGTATCGGTAGATATTCAAAATCAAATGACTCAAACTCAAACTCAAGAAAAAAAAAACCTTCCCTTGATTTGCTCGTTGAGGTCTTGTGTATTGTCCCTTATCTTCGAGTGACAGTATTTAAATTTTTAAAAATCTGACTCTTGCACAACATTTAATTGAAACATTTAGTTTCAGTTGACTTTTTTAGTTGTTCAACAATTAAACAAACAAACAAACAAACAAATAAAAGGTTACTTTAAATTAGAAATGACCATCTCTGTTGAAGGCATTTGCTGCAACCTTCAAACTAATTCTTCTCAGATGGGATGGCGGGCCAAATCAAAGGTTACCATGGGCCAACTTTGGCCCGCGAGCCTTACTTTGGGCATCTCTGATTTAAAAGAAGTTATCTGTTTCATTCATTCATTCATTTTCTTGTCGGCTTAGTCCCTTTATTAATCAGGGGTCGTCACAGCGGAATGAACCGCCAACTTATCCAGCAAGTTTTTATGCAGCGGATGCCCTTCCAGCCGCAACCCATCTCTAGAAAACATCCACACACACATTCACACACACACACACTCATACACTACAAAACCCACGCAAACGCATGGAGAACACGCAAACTCCACACAGAAACGCCAACTGAGCCAAGGCTCGAACCAGCGACCTTCTTGCTGTGAGGCGAAAGCACTACCGACTGCGCCACTGCTTCACCTGTTTTCTGTTTCAGTATATTTTTAAAATGTAAATTATTCCAGTAATGTAAATTGGATTTTTTAGCATTTAGTCTTTGACATCCCATGAACCTTTAGCCAACATTAAGTCAGGGATATGTTTTGCATCACCACAATCTCACTGGAATTCGTAATCTTTTGAGTTGGCGTTTCTTACACATTAATTTGTAACCTTTTCATTCGTATCAATTTTCAGTCATTAGGGGCACGTCTCCTTTAAAAAACATGTGTATATTTTCATTTCAACATTAATATTTTCTTATGGCTAAAATCATATGAATTTCTGTACGTTTTGTCAATATAAAATAGTACAACTTTCTTGTGACATCAGAGCCATATCGAACTGCTACTCATGTGATGTTGTGTTTATACAACAGTTCAACTGCATAATCGAAATCTCAAAAAACCTTTTGGTATGAGGAACTACTTTCTTTCGCTATTCGTTTACATCTGCAGCTGGTCAGAACAGCTGAAACCATTGTGAATTCATAATCGTCATAAGAATATAAAAATTTGTTAAATATTTTTCCAAATCATAGTGAGTTTAGTCTTCTGCCTGGCACTCGTGTGGGCAGAGTAATACACAAGGGTGAAGAGGCTGTACAAGTGGTGATATTCAGCCAATCAGATTCGAGTACCAGACAGAACTGTTGTATAAATGCTCAGCATAAATTAGAGATTCTCTAAAAGTAAAATAAAATCGGATGCCGTGGCACAATGAGCCCACTTGTGCCTTAAAGAAACCACAGCTGAAAATGAAACGTAGATGGAAGAAATCAAAACTACAGGTTTTTCGTCTAGCCTGGAAGGAAAGTATAGATAACTTTAAAAAAGCTTTAAAGTCTGCCGGATCTGCTTATTTTTCAACCTTAATAAAGAAAACAAACACAACCCTAGAGCCCTGTTTAACACAGTGGCCAATCTAACTTAAAAAAAAGCATCAACATACGTTTTCCAACACAGCAGTAATGACTTTATAGATTTTTTTTACGTGAAAGATTGATGATATCAAAAATTAAATTAGCACCATCAATCAGTCTCCTACAGCATCGTCTTAACTAGAGCACTGTAGATCATTAATGGATAAAATTCAGACTTTCTCAGCAGTAGGAGAGGAAGAATAGTAAAAACTTGTAAACTCCTCCAAATCAACAACGTTGACGTGTTAGATCCTATCTTAAACTGACCAAATTATTAAAACAATTCTTCAGAAGTTGCTGAACCTGTCCTTGACATTTTGAATTCTTCCCTTCTGTTAGGATATGTGCCTAAATCTATGCATTTAAAATGTTTCAAGAGATCACACTTAGCTGATGATTAATTATAAGCTACTTTGCTGTCCCGGGAGAGAGCGCTGAGCTCATACGATCCTCGAGCCCGGGGCTTCCTCCCGTTGCAAGGCGAGAGGGGAGTTTGAGCTAAGGTAGATCATGAGAACTCCCCTGTCATGGTGCCTGAAGAACAGATAGTAGTTGCTCTTAAAGAGATAAGTACTCGGTAGGGGCAAGACTATGGTATTGATTTGGATTAGTCAATAAACTTACAGTTGAAGTCAGAATTATTAGCCCCCCTAAATTATTAGACCACTTGTTTATTTTTTCCCCAATTTCTGTTTAACCAAGAGAAGATTTTTTTCAACACATTTCTAAACATGATAGTTTTAATAACCCATTTCTAATAACCGATTTATTTTATCTTTACCATGATGTCTGTAAATAATATTTTACTAGATATTTTTCAAGACACTTCTATACAGCTTAAAGTGACATTTAAAGGCTTAACTAGGTTAATTAAGTTAAGTAGGGAGGTTAGGATAATTAGGCAAGTTATTGTATAACAGTGGTTTGTTCTGTAGATTATCGAGAAAAAATATATCTTAAAGAGGCTAATAATTTTGTCCCTAAAATGGTTCATAAAAATTCAAAACGGCTTTTATTCCAGCCGAAATAAAACAAATAAGACTTTCTTCAGAAGAAAAAATATTATCAGACATACTGTGAAAATGTCCTTGCTCTGTTAAAACATCACTTGGGAAATATTTTAAAAAGAAGAAAAAAAAATCGAAGGGGGCTAATAATACTGACTTCAACTGTAGGTTGCATGGTTTTGATCGGTGGGAGGGAACCAGGAAACCCGGGGGAATCCCATGTGAGCACGGGGAGAATGTGCTAACTCTGCACAGAAACGTCTGCTGGTTTGGTAAAGCCTGGAACCAGAGACGTTCATGCTGTGAGGTAACAGTGCAAAGCACTGGGCCACCGTGTCACCCATCTAGGAAGGAGGAGGAGTAGAGGTGGAAGGGGGGATTCTTCAAAACGAAGACAGCGATGATACGTAACCCAGGGTATTTGTAGTAGCTTTGGAGTCGTCTGATTGGTGCATTGAGAATTGGATAATGCGGGTCCAGCTGCTAGCAATCATAAGCACGTGATCCTCTCGAAGTTAGTTTATAAATAAACTTCACAAAGTGTGGTGACTGTCCGATCTTGCACAGTTTTTACACAAAACCTTTTCATCCTAGAGAGAGTTAATTTTTTAGAGCTTGACAGACACTTGTCCCATTGCAATGTCAGTTTATGATCAAAAGCAGCATGAGCATTCTTCAAAACTGCTCCTTTTGTATCGCAACATCAGCGAATGAAACCAAAAACGTTTCTATTTCAATGAATGAATCTACAAAGAAAGCATTCATTCAATCAAAGAAAAGATCTCCTCCTTATACATCCCTGGTGGCCAGTAGAACGACTAGGTGTAAGGTCACTTATAGACAGGGGAAAAGTCTCTCTCTCTCTCTCTCTCTCTCTCTCTCTCTCTAGCTGTCAGACAGGAAGGGGGCAGTGATTTGGTGAGTGTTTCTGTGAGTCGCTGCTTGTGTTCTCTGGAAAAGGAGGGAGGCGGCAGTTACAAACGCTCCTCTTAACTCTCTGACAGCCTCTGGCAGCACTGGAAGAGAGCGAGAGCCAGCAAACAGAGGCTTTTCAGAGCACAGAGAGCGAACTTGTTCAGCGCTGGACTTTTATCATGCTGAATTGACCAGCGTCTTCCCTCTGGGATACTCTACAAAACGACTGCTCGCAGGACGAGACTCGCAACACAAGAAGCGAAAATGCTCAGCTTTGGTGAGTGTTCGATTGTTCTTCAATGGAAACTTTCTATGCGTTTAGCCACACCTGATTCAGGGGCTCAGAAAACAGATGTTGGGACTGGCATCCAGCAAACATGTGCTGAAAAAACAAACTGTATCGCATGACTCAAGTTTGTTCTGGTGCAGCATTTCCGAAATGACTTTTTATTTCATGTCGATACTGTTTCTTTTTAATGTGCTGCACATTTCATTTAATTCTAGTTTGATTAAGTTTATTTAACGTTTTTGTTTAATTTTGCTATTATTTTTGCGAAAACATTTTTATTTACAAAAATCATAATGGAACTACAAAAGTCAGTGAAAAAAGCCTTTATTTAAAAAATAAATAAATATATATATATATATATATATAGGGCGGCACTGTGGCTCAGTGGTTAGCACTGTCGCCTCACCTCAAGAATGTCGCTGGTTCGAATCCCGGCTGAGCCAGTTGGCATTTCTGTGTGGAGTTTGCATGTTCTCCCCATGTTGTTGTGGGTTTCCTCCAGGTTCTTCGTTTTCTACCACAGTCCAAAGACATGCGCAATAGGTGAATTGAACAAACTAAATCAGCCGTAGTGTGTGTGTGTGTGTGTGTGTGTGTGCGTGTGTGTGTGAATGCGTGTATGAGTGTACTGGGTTGCATTTGGAAGGGCACCCGCTGCGTAAAATATATGCTGGAATAGTTGATGGTTCATTCCGCTGTGGCGATCCTTGATAAATAAGGGACTAAGCCGAATGAATGAATGAATTTTTTTTGTTACAGTTTTAGTTATTGTAGTTCAGCAGAGTTACTTGAACACATCCAACTACGACTAAAACGAAAACTTACATTACCATGTTTGCAAACTTCTAAGCAATGAAAATCAAGTAATTGAACAAATACTAAATCCAGAACCAAACAAATGCAAAAGAATTAAAGGGCACCTATGGTAAAAAATCTACTTTTCAAGCTGTTTGGACAGACATGTGTGTAGGTATAGGGTATAAACCGTCATATTATGGTGATATAAACACACCCAGTCCTTTTTTTTAATTTAACAACATAAAAACAGTGGACCAATTGGAGCGGTTTTCAGACCGACCGCAACTTGACGTAGGAGTGCAGTCCCCCTGCCCACCAATATTGATTGACAGGCACGTCATCATATCCTGTTTGTTGATTCACATCCGCCATTTTCAGCGCGAGTCAAAGCGAACTCGCTAAAGGAACACCCTTGCTCTATTTTTAGATGTAAGGCTTATTAGGTTCAACACAAGATCAATATTCTCCACATTAACACTCTAATCAGAATTATTGGTTGTATCTTTAGGTAGGTTTGCAAACGTGTACTTTTCATTGCGTCTACCGTTTGCACTTCTCACGTTCACAGAAGCTCTCTGTATTCTTAACTAGGTGCAGCTGGAAAAGTGCAAGCGCGCTGCAAAACAAACTTGCCTGCAGGTCGCACACCAAAAGCGCCACTCTGCGTTGCGCAACGCTGTCGTAGCGCCATGTATTTTGGAGTTCTGGGCGTGGTTTCTGTCAGGGTAAATACAATTGGCACTTCAAACCATCCGCGGTGCCCAGCCGCCGTTGTGTTTACCCTCATGGAGGCCTGTGTTTGGAGTTCTAGAATGCGTGGCGCGATGATTCGAGACACTTTATGTTTCAGCTGCGCCGCAGAGAGTGTTTGGTGTGCCGTGTCACGGCGCATCCGGTGCCTCAGTCAAAGTTAATGCAGTGTGCGTGGTTATTAGTATCAGTGTACAAGCTCAGCACTTTAAACTAGCACACAGTTGTCTGTAAAACTATACAAACACATTAATGATTGTGTACTCTCTGCTTGGTCTGTGTCCGAGTCGTACATGTACGGCCGAATGCTAATCCTCTTACTCCTGCTCCGTCTTAAGGCTGATTTATACTTCTGCGTCAAACACCGGCGTATGCTACGGCGCTGACGCATAGCCCTTCGCCGTGGCCATCGCCGTCACTGACGTGCACCTCTCAAAAAATGTAACTACACGTCGCAACGCGCGTAGAGTAAGCTCTGTGATTGGTCGGCTCGGTAGCGCTGACGAGTCTGGGCGGGACCGAGAGCCGCGCGAATGGCGAACGATTGTTTACAAGTGTGGAGTCCCGTGAAGGAGCTCCGGATGGAAAGTTTTGTTTTGTGTTTACCTCATAGTTAAAGTTGTTGCTCGTCCACCAGTTCCTGCCTCAAAATGAGCGAGTTTGAGCCACTTGTACATCCCGGAAGTGTTCAGGAAAAGCAAAAAAGCAGCGAAGAAACTCGACACAGAGGAACATTTACACCTCACTGCCAACTAGCGTTTAGGAAGTGTTAATGCAGACCGACAGAGACAGCGCGCAAAAGTATAAATGCACAGCCACGCGCGTTGCCTGCGCCGTGGGTTACGCCGGTCACCTGACGCACAAGTATAAATCAGGCCTTACAGTCTGCCTGTCTGTTGCCAAACACAGAGTGGGTGAGCTTTTGGCTCCGCCCCCTTGTTACGTTGGACGGGAAACCGAAGCTTATTTTTTATGTGAAGCAACACACCCCTAAAACAGCAAACTGTGTAAACGCTCCCAACATGACACTTTTTACACATTATAATAAAAACATCTGAACTGTTTTTTGAACTGAACCTAAACTGGCACACTCAGAAGAACCATAATATGAATATTAAATCATAAAAATGGGGTAAACTATGTGCCCTTTAAAGTAAAAAATTATGAAGAATTCTGGCAACCTTTAACATATTTAAGATCATACTGTATATAAGGGATGTCAAAATGTATTGTTTCTGTGAGGCAGACGCAAACATTGGTTCAGTGATAATCATAACCAGTTATTATGTACTGATGTCATTTATGACATATGCGTTATGTGGCGGTTGCTTACTTACTATGGCGAGGGAGAAGACCGCGAGTAAATAAAATGCTACTTAGGAAGCAGATAACTGTACACAACTCACTGCTTGCACTGCAAAAAATGCTTTTCTTGCTTAGATTTTTTGTCTTGTTTCTAGTCTAAATATCTAAAATTTCTTATATCAAGAGGCATTTTCTAGACAGGCAAAACATATTGTCTCGTTTTGAGAAATAATATGCCAATAATAAGTGAGTTTTTCCTTAAAACAAGCAAAATAATCTGCCAATGGGGTAAGCAAAATAATCTT